TGGAAATATTAGGTCAAGATTTAGGGCTGTTTAAATTCTCTTTAATCTTTGATAGTTAGGTTACATAGCTTACATGGTTGGAATCGTGAGTTCAAGCTCTACATTTTTCATGTTATAAGTTTTTATTTTCATGGAAGTATGAGGAAGTTACAGGTGATCCGGCCAAAGGCTTGAGGAAGAAGAAGAAACATGGCAAGGACGCGTTTTGTAATATGTTATTTTCGTTTCAGTAAAGACAATGGATGTACGGCCACCCCAGTGGTAAAGCAGCGCGCTGGTGAGACCCATGTCCTGGGTTCGAACCTGCGCGCTACTTTTGCATTTCCACATTTTTTTCTTTTCAATTTTTTAACCCTTTTTGCAGGTTGGGCTTGTTTTTGGGCCAGATCTTTTTTTACTAATATCATCATCACTGACTTGCTTCATCACCCCCCTTACTAACTTTCATATTTTTATTTTTATTTTGTTTTATGTTTATATTTTGCATATATAAATATTTTCCCTAATATATAAAAATCCAAAAAATATAAATTAGTAATATTACACTTTTATTTATTTATTTATTTATTATTATTTCTCACATAAAAATACATTTTATTTTTACTATGATGTCACTTATTTTCTTAATAAAACTTGTAAAAATGATTAAACATATTTATTTCAAATTATTTTTATTTTCATACTTAAATACTTATTCTTGTATATACTTAATTTTTATATTTCTTTATATAATATTATTTATTATTTTTATATACAAAAATACATAAAATAATACATATAGGAACTTTATTTTCTCTTAAATAAAAATTAGAGTTAAACCCCTTTCAAAAATTAAATATTTTTTCTTATATTTTTAGGTTTAGATTAAAATTTCTTTTACATAAAAGCAAGACACAAAACATCTTTTCTCACATGTACATTGCATTACATTTTAAATATTGTATTATATTTATCTTAATTCGCACAAATTCGATTTGGTTGTAATAACGTATTTAGCTTTATATTTGTATAAACCCCCATTCAAACTTGTATTCCCCCTTCCCATAAATTGTTGTAATAGCTTAGAAATGTTCACATTACATAATTTATCGCTTTCATATGCCATGATTAGTAATTAGGGTTTGTATGACAAGAACAAAATAAAGCAAAATAGAACATCCTAAATACAAGACAAAATCAAAGCATGCAAATGATATACTTTGCACACAAGCACCCTTAGGGTTTCTTCCACTTGGTTGCCTAAAACAAAATGGCCATGTTACGCATGCGAAGTATCTTGGCAAAACAAAACAAATATAAGATCATAGCCCCTCGATGACGCTATCCAAAAGTTGCCTAAACAAAATGATCTTGGTCCCTAAAAAATGCTAAGATACCTTTGCAAACATTGCTAATCATGGTTATACAATGACCCACGCCCGTCCCGTTTACATCCAAAGATAGGGTTGCTTACCAAATCAATGGTAAGTCAACAATGTCAAAGGATTAGAAAATACATAAGAAAGACAGTTGAGTAGGTAGATAGCTTCTAGTTACTTGCTCCATTTCAAACAAAAATCCTTGCTATTTTCAAAACAAACACACACACATTTCAAAAACATCTTACAAACATTGAACACATTTTCAAAAGACAAACATCTTTGTATACATTCTTACGAACGAGAATCATTACAAAGATTGCCTAAACGAATGACCCCTTTTACAAAATACTTTCAAAACCACACCAAACACCATTTCAAACAAACCAAAGCAAGTGATCTAAGCAAGTAACTAAGAGCCCATAGAAAACCATGGATGAAAAGGGTGCTAGCACCTTCCCTTTTCATAATCTATCCCCCGAACTCAAGAAAACATCTCAAAGGTCTTTCCTGTGCTTTTTCACCTTTCCTTTTGGATAAAAGAAAAGTCGGTGGCGACTCTTGCTAACCACGACATTTGCGATAAAACACAAAACCTCAAGTCAGTTCTCCCACTGTATCACAACGTTTATGTTTTATTAGCATTATACAAGTTTTTCGAGCACAAAGAGGTGTTCAAGTACCAAAGAGTAAAGCCAACAACATTACATGGATTATAGTGGAGGTATATTAATTAATTATCACAATTTTGATTATATTAATAGTGATGATACTTGATAAAAATTAGGCCTTATCCATATTTTCTTTTCATGTGTAGTGTCATCGGCAGCATAATGAAGTAGATTGTGGTTTTTACATGTTGAGGTTTATGAGAGAAATCCTTCTTTTGGATCGAATAGAGATTTCATCTAAGGTATGGATTTCTAACTTAGGAGTTATTTTAATATTTAACACATATTTCTCATATAATTAAATAGTTTTAACTTAAACGTACTATGTTATATTATTATGTAGTACTTTGATGAATTCAAGTGTGCTTATTACTCAAGTTCTCAGTTGGATGAACTTAAGGGGGAATGGTGTCAATACATTATTGAGACGCAAGTTATATAAGGTATATTGTAATCTTACTTTAATTAATGAGAATTTTGAGTATATTAAAGTGTTGCAATTTTGTTGTTGTTTGTCATGTGATAAATTATATATATTTTGTTTGTATGATAGTATAAATTACGATATTTTGGTGTTGTTTCAGGTTATATGTGCATATGTAGAAGATAGAGATGAATAGATTTTATAATGGTATATAATGGTGTTGTTTTTTTGTAAAGTATATATATACAAGAGTAATAGTATATATGAGTACATTGGTGCAAATATAGAGTATCTTTTGATATTATTTTTTATTGAATTGAAGCTCCAATATTAGTGAAAATCTGGTGAAATTTGTAATGGTAAATATAGATGCAAAATATGGTGAAAATCTGGTACAAATATGGTTAAAACCTATGCATATAAAGTTGTATATATCAAACAACGCTTTTTTTTCAAAAAGGTTATATAAAAATTTTCGTTGACATTAGATAGCGCTTTAAAAAATGCTGTCTAAAGCCCCCTTTAGACAGTGATTTTACTGTAAAAGCGCTGCCTAAAGGGGCTCTTTTTAAAAAAAAAAAATTGTTTTAGAAAAAGCGCTGGCTAAAAGAGGGCTTTAGCAGCGCTTTAAAAAAAACGCTGCCTAAAGGGGGCTTTAGACAGCGCTTTAACATTAAAAGCGCTGCCTAAAGGGGCTTTTGTTTAAAACTTTTTTTTTGTTTCAGAAAAAGCGTTGGCTAAAGGAGGCCTTTAGCAAGGCTTTAAAAAAAACGCTGCCTAAAAGGGGCTTTAGACAATGTTTTAACATTAAAAATGCTGCCTAAAAGATTTTTTTTTTGTTTCAGAAAAAACGCTGCCTAAAGGGGGCCTTTAGCAGCGCTTTTAAAGTAAAAGCGCTGGCTAAAGGGGGGTCTTTAGCAAACTTTCAAAGTAAAAGGGTTGCCTAAAGGGGAGATTTAGCAGCGCTTTTACTTTTAACAAAGCGCTGTCTTTAACTACAACAACGCTGGAATAGACAGCGTTTTAAAGTGTTGTTTAAAGCAAAAAATAACACTGTCTAAAGTCTTGTTTGGCGTAGTGAGTGAGGCAAGTGCGGGCTCAGTCCAAATCAAGATGTAAATGAAAAAGAAGATGAGAAGAAGGCGCAATACCGCTAGGAGAGATTTGAGAAGAGAAAATAATTTGTGATAGTAAGGTTAAGTCATAATAGATTTGAGTTTGAGTTGAATGTGAGTTAAGTGAAGTTTGGATTGTAACATAATTCAATTTGATTAGGTTTGATTCGGTTGTAAAATACAAACTACAATCCGAACTGTGTAATTTTTTTAAAAATGGTTCAAACACGCCTGAGTCAAATACGATTTTTTTCCGATTTCGATTTAGTTTAATTTGATTTAGCAGTTTTCTATTAGATCGGTTTGATTTTAAACACCCCTACTCAAATGTTATGATTGATTACTGATATTTTTAGCTAAAATTTATTTATAGTTTATATTCTTTTAAATAAATTATTAAAAAGTGACATAATATTCAATAATTAAATAATTGATATGTTCATCTTAAATATTTTAAAATTCCTCCCAAAAAATAAATTATTTAAAAAAAATTATCAAATAAACTCTTGATTAATACTCATAAATCCTTGAAATATTAAAATAAAAAATTAACAATAGACAAATAAAATTAAATGATAGTAGATCTTTATATTTAAAGAAAAACTAAAAATAAAATTCTCAAAGTTCAAATTTAGATAAATACAAATAATTTTTGTATTAAATCAATTATATATAAAATTTTACTTTGACTTTAAACCGAACTCTACATATGAACAACAAAATTAATCATTTCATATTAAAAAAAATCCTTATATTTAAAGAGAAGATGTAAGTATAAGACATTATCGGCATAAAAGAGAATCATGAAAGTATTGAAAGTGTCATTTAATGGTCAATATAAGAATCCATAAAATATCCCATAAAAAATATTTAAAAAATCCATTACTGTGAAAAAACCCTAAACCGAAAGCAACACGCAAAGGTATAATGTACTAACTCTTGAAAGTTGAGTCTTTTGTTTATCGATTAATCACGTTCCACTCTAAATTAATATGCATCGCTTTCAAGATCAGGTTCGCTTCTGGTTTTCCTCCTTATCCCATATTGCGGTCAGATTCATTTCACCACTTCAAATAAAACTAATTTTTATCTCATCTATTTTTGGTAACACCAACTTAATTTTTGTAAGAAAAATAATTAAAATTTGTTGTAAAGCTACTATTTGGTCATATCCAGAGGTCATTTTGATGTAATTGGACTAATGGCAACGTTGTAATAATATAACTAATCATGCCCATTCTCATAACACCACCCCTTTAAAAACCATGAGATTACCCTCCTGATTCTCAAAAAACTCAGTATCCCTTTAACAACCCCATCTCTCTTTCTCTCTGCTTCACCATTTACTTTCTCTCTCTCTAAGAAATACTTTAGAGAGAGAAAACATCTTTATCATTATCATCACCTCCATCACCGGCGAAACCAAAAATCAATGGAGAAAATGGGTGCGAGTGGAAAGAGATATGGAGTTTTGTTATGTGCGGATGATTCAGACTATGTGAAGAAAATGTACGGAGGGTATTTTGGGGTATTCGTGAAAATGTTGGAGGAAGACGGTGAGGTTTGGGACGTGTACAAGGTGGCGCGTGGAGAGTTTCCTAAGGAAGATGAATTGGTTCTTTACGATGGTTTTGTCATCACTGGCAGTTGCAGTGATGCACATGGAAATGACACATGGGTCTGTAAACTCCTCATTTTGCTTAAGAAATTGAACAACATGAACAAAAAAATCCTCGGCATTTGCTTCGGTCATCAGGTACTAAAAACTAATCCTAATTTAGTAAATTAATCACCGGCTTTCTTATGCCACCTGTCTGGTTAATTACTAATTACAGAGAATGAAAGTTAATCATATTCATATATTTAACAATAGTACAGGGTCACCTTCAAAAAATGAAATAAATTTTATTTATTAAATTAAATTTATACGTGTCAGTGTTTTACCAATTTAGGATTTGTTCTACTTTGGAATATTTGACACACTATACTATGGTTGTAGCTTTGTTTATCATTCCGTTAGTTTTTTCCTTTTATCATACTTGTTTGTCTTATACCACAAGGAATAGGAATAATAACTGGAAATTGATCCACAATTTTTTCTTTTGATAAACTATTATCTTGACTAAAACGTTGATAACGACTTAACTTTACTGTAGTGGCTGATTGATATGCTAATTCTAATTAGAATTATTGTTTTAAAAGAATCTTTGCGACATGAAAAGCTGTAAAAATATAACACTTGGCTAAATGCATGGACCATGATAATGCAATGTTCACATGCGTCATTTACGTTACGACATGATAATGATATGTTATCACCTCAGTTATATAAGTGCTTTAATTTTAAGTCACGACTTTTGTGTAAGTGCTTTTAATTTGATAATTTGATTAGATACTTGGTCGTGCTTTGGGAGGAAAGGTGACTCGGTCACCAACTGGCTGGGACCTTGGTGTCAGAAAAATAACACTGTCATCTTCCTTACCATCACCGTTGTCTTCTCTTCAACTTCCTTCAAGGCTCTCCATTATTGAGTGTCACCGGGATGAGGTTTGTACAATTATTTATTATTTTTATATGTTTAATTAATTAGATTATCATGTATAAGTCTGATAGTATTGTTTAGTATATCATAATAACACAAGATAATTTAATCTATTATTAGATTCGAGAGCTACCTGCCAAGGCTGAAGTGATTGCCAAGTCAGATAAGACTGGAATTGAGATGTTTAGATATGGAGATCATATAATGGGAATTCAAGGTCACCCTGAGTATTCTAAAGACATTCTTTTCAATATTATTGACCGTCTTATTCAACTAAATTACATCACGGTATAAGCATTTTTTCTCTGTTATTTTTATTATTATACTATAAATTTAATTTATGTGTATGTGACATCACATGTTATATTCTAATTTGTTTTGATTGATGACAGGAAAATTTGGCTGTGAAAGCAAAGGAAAAGGCTGGAATGTGGGAGCCAGATAAGGAGGCATGGAAGAAACTGTGCATCACATTTCTGAAGGGTTTTTATTGTGAAAAAAATGGTGTAGAAAAAATCAGTATGGGTGGTGTATTCTGAAGTATAGAAGATAATTAACTACTAGGTGTGGCACATGTACAAGTTAGTAAGATGCATGTCTTTGTTTGGTAACCTTGATTAGTGATAGAACTATAGGTGCAGTTTATGTACCTAAAATTGTAAATATTTAATCTAATGTTAATGAAAAAGCTGTTATTGGTTTGTCTTTTTACAACATTATAAATGATTTATTAAGATTATCTATAATATAAGAAAATTAATGGCTCTCAGAAAATCTAATTTTAATTTTGATTAAATTTTTGTTACATTATAATTTTGAGGACAGTTTATTTCTAAGCTAATCAAATTTTGACCAAATATCAGATCTGTTGCAACTCAAACACAATTTTCCTCAAAATTGTATACTCACCTTTCTCATTTTCTCTAAATATCTCTCTTTTTTCTTTCTTCATCTCTCTACCCCTAATGACCCCAATTTCAAATACTGATTCTTTAGGTCGGTCTTCATCTTCTTTATTTAATGTGGGATGCTGTTAAGGTTGATTTTAAATGTATTTTCTACTGAAGCTGATTTTTTAACTTTGTGTGTGTCTAACCTGTCTCCTGATTTGTGGTGGTTTGATGTTTTCAATTTTTGTGATGGACAAGTGAGGATGAGGAATGAGCAAAGGGAACCTGAAAAGATCTAACTCTAATATTTGTTGACTATGTTCTAATTATACTTAAGCAATGATTTCAGTTGTATAGAATGAGGATATCATATTGTATATCGTTGATTTTTCAATGAAAAGTTCAATTTCTGTTGTGTTTGGATGAATATACTTTTTGCCTTATTTTTAATTTTAATTTTGCACCGGCTAAGTTACACATTATGTTTCGATAAATAAATAGTAAAAATAACAACACTCTCCAATTTTTCATCAATCTCATTTTAAAAAAACCAAAAAATAAAATAAAAAGTATAATGTTGATAATAAAATAATAATATTTATTTACTGCTAATAAATTCTGATTTCATTTATTGCTTTTATTGCTAATCATTTTTATTTATAGTATGTTTTTGTATTGATTATCAATTTATTAGGATATCATTTTTATTTATAATTCTACTTTAAGTCTAATTGATTAGCAATTTATTAGGAGTATTATATATTATAACTGAAATCAATTTAAATCTAATTTATAGTATATTAAATAAATAAATTAAGTCATATATGATCATTATGAATTTTTATTTTTAATGAAAAGTAAAATTTTATTATGATCATTATAAATTATATTTAAGATAGTTTTAAATTTTTTTAAATTAACATCAATATATATGTACCATCGGTTGAATTTTTTTAACAAAAAAAATAATTTTTAAATTGTTTTTAGTTTAAAATACAACACTTTTCTAGATAATAATAATTTGTTAGTTGAAATAATTATAAAATCTCAATCAAAATAAATTTAAAAATTAGATGCGAAAAGTGTATCATCGATCAAATTACATAAGATATGTCATTTATCAATCAATTAAAATAAAACTATTTTGATGTGTATTATTAATTAATTAATAATAATTTTACAGGTTAAAAAATATTTTATGAAATAATATGTCTCACTCTAAAAGTGAATCAACTACCCATATTTGAAACTTTAAAGTGAAATTAATATTGACTATTTGTTAAAAGATTTATATGGAACAAATATTTTAATAAACGGTATTGTGTTTATAAAAGAGAAAAACCTAGATTTGTTAATGTTATAAGTTATGTTTATAATACAACATCCATAGAACTAACAAATACTTTAGATTGGCGTGGTGGTTGATAACTATTTTTGTAGCTAAAGGCTATAGTATCAAATTCAAATATGATAAAATCTCTTCTTCTTTTTTTGAGAAAATATGTGGAACAAGTTTTATATATAGTAGATATCAAAAAAATAGTTTTAAATTAAATTTTTTATAAGGGGACAAGTTTACTATTGTTCAAATATTTTTAAAGAATAAATGTGTTTTATCAATTTAAAAATAAATAAATTAAGAATTATTTTCTTTTTATGAATCATGTATATTGAATAAATATTTTATTATCAATAATATTTGCTTATTTCTATGACTTTTTAAAAAGATAATATATGATCTAGAATTAGAATTATTATATTATATTAAAATATAATTATTGGTATTAAATTTTTAAATTTATGGTAAAATGTTATCATTATTATTATTATTTTGTATCATTTGTAATATTTTGTAAACGAGAAAAGTGTAGCATTGATACAAATATTTTTTATAAACGAAAAAAATGTATATTGATGTAAATAATTTTATAAACAAGAAGAAGTGTACTGTTATAATTTTTTTATAAATTTTTATAAACGGGAAAAAGTGTACTATTACAAATATTTTTATAAATGAGAAAAAATATATTGTTGACACAAATATTTTTATAAACGTAAAAAAATTTACTTTTATTACAAAAAATTATATAAACAGAAAAAAAATATTATTGATATAAATAATTTTACAAATGAGAAAAGTATATTGTTGATACAATATTTTTATAAACGAAAAAAAATATATTATTGATACAAATATTTTTATAAATAAAAAAAGTGTATTGTTGATATAAATATTTTTATAAATAAAAAAATTTATTTTTAATAAAAATATTTTTAGAATTGAAAAATATATATTATTAATATAAATATTTTTATAAACGAAAATTTATATATGTGATAAAAAAAAGCCCGTAATCTGTGCATACTAGTATACATTTTACTAGTTCATCTTAAATATGAAATGAAAAAAAAAATGCTTATACCAACCAATTTGAGTACATGAGTTTTTGACCATTATGAAAGAAAAGCAATAATAAATATTATATTTAATAATTTTTTATTCAGTCTCCAAAAATAACTATTCATCTTCTTGGTGAAGTCCATCACTCCACTTTGTCCCCAATAAGTGGAGAGAAAAGGCACGTTAAAATTATATTTTTATTGACATACCAATAAAACTTGCCTCTCAAAAAATTAAAGATATTAGTATGGCATTTCTTGTCTCCAAATCTTTATTTCAAACTAGCTTGCAGAAGCACTCTTTGCATATGGAAGAGGTAATTACAAACATGGATTGGAGTTACTTGGTATAGATTTTGATGCCAACGATTGCAAGTAGGGGTGTTCGCGGTGCGGTTTGGGCGGTTTTGAAGTAAAAAATCACCCTAACCGCAAGAGAAAAAAATATGTGGTTCAGTTGGCTTTTAAAAATAAATCCGAACCAAACCAAACCAAACTAATGCGGTTTGGATTGGTTCGGTTGGTTCAATTTTTTACAAAAAAATTTATTAAGTCATACAAACAAATATAGAATAAAATATAATTTTGTATTTAATTGTTCGTACATTACCATAAAAAAAATTTATAATTGTCAAAATAAGTTTATAATTTGATACATAAAATTGCGTATTATAATTTTATCTAAATCTAAATAATGATATAAACAAGATTGCATTCTTAAATAAATATTATACAAAGAATACGATAAAATATATTTTGTGAAAATAATATTTATAAATGAATAATATTTTATTTTTTTATGATTTGTAAATTAAAATGAATATAATACAAAGTATGATAAAATATACACATAATACATGTTTATTTCTCTAAAGAATTAAATAAATATATATTAGTTAGTAAGATTTTATAACATAATGCGGTTTTGTTTGGTTTAGTTCGGTTTGTAAAATATAAACTGTAAACCGAACCGAACCGTGCGGTTCCGTGAGAAAATGACCCAAACACATCCGAACCAAATGCGGTTTTTTGCGGTTTCGATTTGGTTCGGTTCGATTTTGCAGTTTTCTATTGGGTCGGTTTGGTTTTGAACACCCCTAATTACAGGGTTATATTAACTAAACTTTTCCAATCTTCATTTTTGTGTCTTCACTTCTTTCTTTTTTGGGATTTAATAATGTAAATCATGCTTATGTGAAGATAATTAGTGCATCAAATAAACAAGTTCATGTATTCAATAAAGTTTAGTACATCATGTTGTTGAACAGCAGGGATGTAATGGAGGGTAAAATCTCAAAAAAATTGTTCAATATTTTTCAAACCCATCACCACTCATCTTCAATTGTAATGAATTTTAACCCAACAATTGAAGGAATTGAGAAGAAAATCAAAAAGAGAGACAACACTGCTTTCTTATGGCGTTTGTTAGTACGAGTTGAAGTTTAATTGAGAAGTTTATTTTATGAAGAATCCATATTCATTGTTGACTAATTCTTATTGTTGTTGCTTGATCTTTCTTTCTTGTTTACAGGAGAGAGGATATAAACTAGCAAAGAGACTAGAAGCTAGAATTGCAAACGAGAAAGCCAAAGTTTTTAAGAGTGCATATTTTAATTAAGAGAATAATCATAGAACCAAATCATATTTGGTTCTATGTGAATGCATAAAGTGTCAATGATGACAACAATATGGTGGCGAGCACATATTTCTACAAAGCAATTTTAACACTGAAAAAGAGAGATGAAATTAAGGGTCGATCAAGCTTTTGAAGATGTCTTGGCTCTTCTAATCTATGGTTTGGTTTTGTTCCCTAATCCGGACCAACTCATAGATAAGAATGTTGTTAAGATTTTTCTTTCTCGTAACCCAATGCCTACTTTGCTTGGAGACATTCTACATTGTCTTCACGTTCGCACTATGAGGAAGTGAGGAGCTCTTATGTGTTGCATATCATTGCTGTCTAGATGGTTTATTTCGCACCTTCCTCGATCAGTATTGAATAATGAACAAGACTTGACGTGGTCTCAAAGGTTGATGCCACTTTCTCATTCGGATATTCGTTGGTGTTCCCGATATCTAGAGGACATTACTATCATCGACCATTATGGGGAGTTCCCTAATGTTCCACTCTTGGGCATTAGGAGAGGTATTACTTATAACCCTTCACCAGCTCTATGAGAATTTGGCTATGCTCGAAGAGATGGTCCTAATGATGCACTTATCAATGATATTATGTTCGACTATGAGAA